TGTAACTAAATGTATCACAACTATTATAATGTTTGTTTATCAACGAATTCACTATTACCGACCTTCTGGAAAGTTTCTTTTTTCGGATATTCGATTATTAACTATAAATTTTTTAATCAGCTCAGTATGAAGACAAAATATTTATGAACAGTTACATATTTGTCAGGTAAAACAAAAACTATAGTGAGGAATTTGGGTCTTACATTTGAGATACTTCTTCGCGGAGCGAAAATAAAGTAGAACACTCCGATGAATTATACCAGTAAACATTGTTTCAAAAACATTGCACAATCTTTATCAGTCGATTTTTCATTCCCTTCTCATCATTTATTAAAACCCTAAAAAAGAAAAAAAGTACCTGGAGAAGGAAAAAGCAAGAAAAATTTGTGTCAGTATGGTTCGAATGGCCAACGTATTAAAAATGGGCGGCGGAACAAATGAGTTAAACGTCTTGAAAAATTGGGATCGTGTTTTCTGGAAAAAAAGGCAAGAAAAATTGAGGTCCGTTTTGTCATTTGACAAATACCTTTGTAGACCTATGTCGGGGAGCCTGGTTAATCCTTTTGGTTTATTCTCGTCTTCATAAAAAACCGATATTAGGCCGATGAATAAATGTTTAACACTCTCTCGCCCTATTATGTTATTATCATGACCTTTCATTTTAATGATAACAATAAAATTATAAAAAATTATTTATACCAAACAATTTATTTTCACTGGCAGGATGGAAGCAAAACATACATCAAATAATGTATATAATGTTATAAACAATATTGTATTTATTATACATGTAAATATATAAGTAAAAATGAAAACAATTGAAATGTTTTTCAAATTATGAATATCGCGAGCAAAATAAATTGAATTCACTGATATTCGTAAAAATAAATACAAACATTTCTGTGTAAAACTGATATAAAGTTAAAACATATTATGTTAAAAATTATACTTTGTAGGTATTAAATCGGTATTGTGTTATGATGAGACAAAAACTATATTGTAAACGCTTAGCCATACAACATTTATGCACGTTCAGTTTCAAAATATAGACAATGGTATCACCAAACAAACAAAAGCTGCATGCTTTTGAAAATAAAGTAGTTAACCATAAATGCGGGTTTGTATTCTATGTAGTGAGGCGTAGAAGGCATAATAAAGATATAAGATAAATGACCTAATTACCTCAAATAAGCAGCGCTATAAAAGAGTAAGAATCAGACTGCTTCGTTCAGCAAGCCGTACTGTGCAAAGTGATAAGAGAAATCTTAAAATAAAAACTGACGCATTGAGATTTGTGATCGATAGTTAAGTCTAAGCTGAAGTATATGGATTGATTGAAACGAAATGTAGTGTTCACAAACACTTGAGCATCGCAATACTTCCGAACGAAGTCATTACAAAATTGAAAAATCAAAGAGAATATTATTATCAAGAAAAGAATCACATTTGATTGCAATAAATTAACACTAGTGCAATATATATTTTTTGAAAAGTGAAATTATATAAAAAATGTTTTATTTGGAATTGGAAACTATGTCAACTTAATGTTCTGAAATATAAATAGATTAGGTTTATTATACTTTATATATAAACATTTCTAAAATTATATAATAATGAAATAAAATATATTCCCATGGCGTGTATGTTAGATATTATGATATGGGTTTATACTTTAACAGTAATGCAGTAAAGTTTGTATTTTGAATGGAAATAATAAAAACTACTTGACTATCTACTATCTTTAAATATTAGGCTTGAATTATTTATTTTCTTATATTCCTTAATAATCATCATAATACAAGTTCATTTTTTATAATAACAAATAAATGTTTTAATATCTATATAATTAGTTATTTCAACAACTTTCAATGAACAACACAAACTGTGTATAAATAAAATACATATGTATTTGTAGACGGCTTTTATTGCAATTAAGTATCATTCTCGAATACTAATCCAAACAGAAACTTTTCTTCCATCTACATTATTTTAAAATACCACATGCATGGACTGGATAAAGATAATAGTAAGTGGTCTTAAGGTTTCTAGAGTACGTTTCTATTTCGTTTATAGAGCTTTGAAATCAAATAGCAGTATTAAAACGGTAATAATTTCAATCCGTTTATCTTTATTGTCATGTAATCGTGTCTTCCGGGAAAAATATCGAGGTTGTGTAACGAACTCTTTTTCTTAAATTGAGCATACTTAATAAAGTATAAGTGTATAATACAATTCACGATGCACTTGACTTTTAAAATAAGAATATTTTGAAAATAATAGAAGCAACCGAATAATATAGCTTATCAAAATAATATACAAATTGAAAATAGTGATCATTAGAATAATAATTATTATAATGTATTTCAGAGCATTGATTTTTGATGAATAGTACAGTCATCGTTAGCCATCCTATAATTTATAATACTATTAGTTATCACAGCTCACCAAAGTGACACAGTACTTACTCTCCAAAGAGGTCATACTAAAGATACTGAAAATATCCAATTGTGTACCCGTTCATCTTCTTTAATTATATTCTATACAACTATGTCATAAACATTAAGTTTTCTCTGGCGACATTTGAAAATTATAATCACTTTAGGTAGTTTTTCACAATCTGAAGAGGGGGGCACATATGGCACAAGGTGAAATTTAAAGATTTAAAGATTTATTCACATAATAAAGTCAACCACTGACTAGTCCAACAATACGTTTTATTTTTTTTTTACACTCTTGAATTGTATTATTAATTAAGTAGGTATATTAATTGAAATGAAAAAAGTCTGCATTTTTAAAACTTCAAGAATTTATTTTAAATAATAAAATAATAAAAATGTAACTCAGTAATAATGAATAGGCGGGTAATTAAGCTGCCTTTAATATAAAACATTAATGAGAGAAATCCGATATCACAAACAAGCTATATAATGATTTGAATCCACAAAAACGTCGGTGTGAACAGTCCCAAAATGTCTACTTTTTAACTTTTCTCCTAAACTATGATAGCTAGAAAGTTGGTAAATATCTCATTAAAAACGGATTATCAAGCAAATACAAAATATGAAATTTAAAATTTAAAAAAAAAAATATTTAATTTTTACAGTTAAAAAAAAATAGTTATTTTCGCTTGATTTTCATTTAGCCGAGTAGATTTCGGAAACTTCAAAACGGATTTAGTTGTTTGGGGTCTTGTTACTTCACATTGGCTAAGAGAGTGCAGTAAAAATTTTCAAAATTTCATCTTAAATCGTTAATTCACCACAAAGCTTTAAGGCAAAAACATAAAAAAAAGCCAAATAAAATGTGTTTTTTTATTTAAAAGATCTGTAATGAACTGACTATTAAAGATTAAAAACTGAAAACTGCAGCCAACGTGAATTAAACAAGACTCCAAACAAAAAACCCGTTCTACGATGTCGGAGGTCCATCTCACTAAATGAAAATGAAAATGATTTTTTGTTGCGGGGCTGTTCATACCGATGATTCAAATTGTTATACCGCTTGGGTGTGAATCAAAAATGTTCATACTAGGTACACTATACGTTTTGATAATTTAATTTAAAGTATAATTTTGGTTCAATCATATTGTAATAAAATACATCATATTACAGTTAATACATTTCTAAAAATTAAAATCAGAAAGTTTACATGCCAATGTCTGACTTGGCAAGTTGTTATATTTTTTTATTATGCATACATAATCTGTACCGCGGGAACAATAAGAGTATGAACTATATAAAAAAAATAACATGAATAATTTGATAGAAGAAGCCCATTCATGACTGTTTCGTATTTTATTAACTTTTAAAATTATTTTTTTTTGGTTTTTTTTTAAAATTTTTTTACTAAGAATTGTCATCTATTAGATATCTGCATTAATTTCGCTTAAGACAATGAGTAGGGCTTCTTGTCATAGCTAATGTAGCTAATATTTTAACCAGTGGATTTCGCTAAACTTAATGCGTAGGTGGGACTGTTAATAGTAACTCTTGGCCTTTCATGTATGGTTTTCATGTACAGGTTTTTGCGTAGGATGTGATTAGATACATATGGTGAGGGGGGGGGAATTGGTAATTTTCCTCATTGTAATATTTTGGAACCTCTGTATTTTATTTAGATTGGAGACTTTTGCATTTTCTCATATCTGTAGGGCGTATGTCCTAGGTTAAACAATACTCAAATATACTTAAATATTTTATTTAATATACAATACTATTCAATAAAAAAATTGTGATCTGAAATTTGATACCTATACAATTATATTATAACTATCTCTATTATAATTCTTGAATTATTTTATATTGTATATAGGACACGTTCAACATTATATGATGATAGACAAACACACTTTACCATCGAATTATAAATTATTAAATTTTTATACAAAAGAATCTTTTCTGACAACCTTACAACAAGCTTTCTAAGATTAATCACTTAGTATTGTGTGATTTGTTAAATTTGTTTTATTTGCAAATAGATAGTAAGACATAATTAATTTAAGTTTAAGCCTCTCCTAATGTAGGATTATATAGAAAATAATAATTTAAATTTTACAACTTTTATAGAACATATAATATGGTAATGCAAATTTTTTTTTAAATAATTCAGTCATATCACGTGTGAAATTAATAATTATGGAATATGATCGATAGGTAATGTATCATAACTTTTTTTTTTAAATGTTGAAGTATATATTACTTAATATTAATATTTTATAGATAATAGTGACATTTTATAATTCATGTAAAAGCTGTAAAGTGACCAAGTTAAACTTACAAAAAAATTATAAACCACTTTATGACAAAATAATTATTATCAAAAGCTTTGTATACCACACTACAAAATTGTAAAAAAATCAGTTAAAATGAATATCTAAAATAATGAAACATTTTAAAGCATATAATTATATCTACGTAGAAGATAATTCCCTTTAAAACATTAAAACAAAACTGTTCACGTAACTGTTTAAACTGAAATGGACATTCATATTTTTATTTTAGTTTCAATGGAGTCGAGCTCGTCGCTGCAAAATATACAGCCAATGTCACAAAAAGAAACGCCTATGCAAAGACCACTGTTCGACGATATTTCACCTCATAATGTAACAGCAGTTGTTGGACAAACTGCCATTCTCCACTGCAGAGTCAAACATGTATCCGACAGAACGGTAAGTAACCATTCAAAGATATTTTTATTTCATTCTCGATTACTTTGTGATAACGAACAGTTCATTTGGAAGTGCGAATTATGTGTATTTATAAAAATGTTTAAAAATTAAATATTATATTTTTATATAAATTATTTCTAAGGAGAAGTTTATTTTATTTATTCAATCTCACAGATTGAACTAATTTTTGACAAAAACATGGCATATAACTTATATAAATTATAAATTAACCCTAAAATTTTGGAATTGGTTCTTGGTATTATGAATGCATTTAAATTAATCTATTAATCTTAATATCTCAAAAATTTCATAGAATATAACAATACGACTTGGTGAAAAGTTTCAAGTACCTTCGATTGATATATCTTTTGGATTTCAAACAATATTATTCATATCTTTGTAGGAAAAATCGTCATTTTTTCGTGTAACTATACAATTTTGTCAAAATTTAAGTTTGAACCTTTTACAAAAAATTATATCCATGTATTTTTAAAAACAAATTTAAATGAAGTAAAAATTTATGAATTCTTGTATTGCATTTTAAATTATCAGTATAAATATTGAAAATTTGAATTTTCAATGGAAAAATAATGTGCAATGTTTTGTGTTCAAATAAGTTTAAAAAACAATTTAAATTTCTAAAGTGAAAACAAAAAAATTGTAACTGCATTTTTAATATTTTTAAGCCAGTATAATAATGTGTAAGGATCCAACACTTTATATTACATTTTATAATATTTTCAAGAGTAACAAAAATGTTATCTACGTAAATTGAAAAAAGGTAGACAATTGAGGACTTATTTGATGTGCAGAAGGTATAATTAAATGTAATTATTATTAAATAATATAATTACGTATACGAATAACAAAACAGAGTGAAGTCAGATCATCAGCCTACATAATTAAGTGTATTTTATGATATTATTGCCAATAAAGTAATTTATTTTATTATTAGGCATTAGTAACAAACAATGTTGAATTTATGAAAAACTTACCCCATATTTTGCAAAGAAATGCATTTAAAAATGTCATTGTGTATTTGTGTGTATAAAATATAATAGTATATACTTTAAAAAACTATACAATATCGCCCAAATTTAAACATAAAAATGTGTCTATAAAAAAACTATGTTTATACATGATTTAAATTTTATACATTTAAAATGTTTAGCTAAACAAAGCAAACTTTTATATATTTTCAACTATAAAATAATTTGCGAATTTTAAAGGTTTTGATGAATTTTACAATATTTGAACTTAAAATATTTCAAATCAAAAAAAATGAAGCCAATGTATTTTTTATATTTTTGAACTGCTACTATAATGACTCGTGATGAACTTTGATAACATTTTCAAGTGTTTTGACCCAACGAAAACAATTTCATCAATATTCATGAAAACAAATCAAAACACCAAAATATTTCAATCGATTTAGTTAAAAACCGGATTTGCTTAAAAGTCCTTCATTTTTTATTTTTTGTTTTTCACGATGTTTTTGAAAGTAACTATAAATAATTTACTCATAATCGTTTAAAATATCAAGTAGTTTCACTTAATTACCAGAAAAAATGATGAAGTAAAAAAACGTATTTTTACTGATCAAAAAATCAATAACTAACATAAAAAAAATTGATAAATACAACTTTATCATTGTAAAATGAATAGATCCATCTTTTCGCTGAGAATCCAAAATTCTATAAGTTAAGAATTTCAATTATAATAAGTAAAATATTTATAAAACTGTTTAATTTCAATACAATTCTAATCTAAATGCTTTTTTAAAATTGTCTAGTCTTTACAATTTTCATTTCTCAACAACAACAAAAAAACGAAATTGGTTTTGGTATAAACTAATGTTGCGTTATTCTATTTCATTTTCCCGATATATATGTTAGTTAGAATTGTCTACGGATGACTCCCCAAAAGTTCCATGCACCAACCAGAACAATTTGTCTACCAGAAACTTACACCGTAGAGATTGGAGCTCAATTTTGTTCAATAACGTACACAATACAATATGTACCTAGCTATTATATAAAAAAAAAAAACACTCACACAGTGCATTGTGTATTTTATATGAATTAATCAGACGGGTGATTACATTTTCATTCATATGTACACATTTAATTTGTTAGGAATATTTTGTTTGATTTTTTTTATTATTATTAAAGAAGAAAGCCTCGATGACGTGAACATTTTCTTGTTTTACATAATATGATACTTAAATAATTTAAATTAAATTGAACAGTCCAATCTTTTTCATAAACATATTTTTGATGGATTCTTCCTCGGGCTCCAGTGCGTCGTGAGTGTGGTCAGGTATATTGTATTTTTTGCCTGTCCCTACAATCCTGTAATGATCTGTTTGATATCTTCGATTGAGGTATGATATCCGCATGTAAAGCATGTTCTTGATGGCTCTTTTTTCAATAGATGGCCATGTGTGTAATGCATATGACTTATTCTGAGGCGATTTAATACAACTTCGTCTCTTCTTTTAATTAACATTGATATATTCCAATTTTTTCTTCTTTTTATTTCGTTTTTTAGTGTTAAATTTTTGTTTGATTATTTTTGACATAATCGTACAAAAATAATTTAAATTATAAAATAAACCAATCGTATAAATCATAAATATGCAAATATCGTTTAAAATGGATCATTAATAATAAAAATTATGTCATACAATATACATATTGTATCTAGTTTGCATTGTCATATTTTGCTAGTTAATTATAAATTATGTCAAGTGTAAAGTATTGTAGTACATAAATGAAAGATAAAAGTTTCACTATAAAACCATCATCTTTATATCGCTAAAAAAACAATAACTTCCCATTTAAGTTTCAAACACCTAACAAACAGGTTTTTGTGTAGGCCCAAAAGTTTTATTAAATATATTATAAGAACATGCTTACATTATCATCTGTTTACATCTTATAGAGTTCAGTAGATTAGTTTCTGAGTGATAGTACCTTCATTGTAAAAGGCGATCAATAATACGCATTAGTTTAATCTAAATAAAAAACTTGTTTTTTAAGATATAAATTCACAATATTTACATAAACATTTTATTGAGTATATATAAAAAAAAATTTATTGATACGAAATAACATAATTACACATTTTAAATAGCTTCATCACATTTTATGACAGGGACTGGAGGTTTGGAAGTTGTATTAAACTGAAAGGTTCTGGTTAAGATCAGTTTTCTCAGATGGTTTTTCAAACAGTACCTATATTGACTTGATTTATGTTCTCAAAAAATAAACTTGGGGTTTCGTTTAAAACCACATCGAATAAATAAACTTCATATAATATTATTATGTTATAATCATATTTTTTTTTTATCTGACGGCCGGCACAATCAGTCATAACATTTATTATCTGTTAAATTTGAATCTTTATGATACCTTTGTATTATTCGGAATTAGGAATTGGGAATATTAATGAATTTAATGAACTTAATTACTATTATTCGAGTTATGTCTAGCAATTACAATTTGAATGTAAAATAATTTATATAAGCTATAGGTGATATGTTTTTATTGTGCTTACTCAATAACTTAGTTATATGAACATATAAGTCTCTCATTCTAATTAATTATATGTAAACATAAACTTTTCTGAAATATTACAACCAATTTATTTTATTTATTTAAATAAACAATTGATATCTTAGGATCCTTAAGATATGTGATTAATGTAGTATACAGCCAAAAAAACTAGATAAATAAATTGCATCAAATCGTCGCTTAGGATTTTATTCTAAGAATGATATAGATATGTAGGAAAATAGATTTCATAACTTATATAAATTCACTTTATAAATTCGTATCTCTCGCCAACTCATCAGTAATAAATAAACTGATGTGAAATATTGACGTTAAATGATATTGAATGTTTGACAAGTTTGTCCCAAATCCTCTTTAGCTTTACAGTCACTGCATTGTAGGTAGTCGCTGATATATTTTAATGCCTGACCGACTTTACCATTTTCAATCATTCGTCTAATCCAGTCGATCGTAGTTTTTCAAGGCGTTGTAGTGACAAAACGGTAGTTCAATCAGTATATACAGCCGCTGGTTAAACGCAAACGGCTTGGCAGATAACTGGCAAGGATCGGAGGAATCAAATATTTTTTGAGTATTTAATTTTAATTTTTAGTAGTAGAAAATAATAAACTATAGATCACATGCACTTTCCAGAAGCAAAATAAAAATAATATCTGAATAATTTGGAATATTTTATTAAATGAATTTAATCAATTATGAGTCATATTAGTTTATAACTGTTAATTATTTTTGTTGGAGTTCATAAGAGTTGATCTGCGTTCAAAGTTTCGATTGTTTTATTTTAATTAATATGCAGCTACTTGTCAAACTGACATTTTGCCAAATATTATCGTATTAAAAATATAGTATAAATTAACAATATTTACCAGTGTCAATTATAATTTGTATTTCAAAATATTATTGGAACTAATGGGTAACTAACAAAAATTGTTCGTACAAATATAATTATTTGATTCATGTTCATGAATTCTACTCATACACTAAATGTGGTAGATGATTTAGCTGCAAACGAGTTGTACACTAAATACCTAACTGTGTCCCCCAATTTTTTCTATTTTAGGTGACGAGTTGTGTCTGATAGATTTTTGTAAGATACTCGATATTTATACTGACTAAAAAAATTGTTACGTTTACACAAATTGTGTGCCAAAAAATTTTATTTGAATAATTTGTCAAGATTGACAGATGACTTACATAACAAATTTTAAGATGGCTTAATTATAGCCTAACATTATTATAATATACAATAAACTAAATAAACACTATATAGACATGTACAACATAACATTCTAAATAGGTTTTCATTGTTTACATATATTTTAAGTGTATCAATATTGTTTCAAAATATTTATAATAATATAAAAATAATTAATAAAACTATATTACATTATGCTAAGCTATATTCTCCAATTGTTACTAAAATAA